ATTGATAAGACCTGTCTTCTCAGCCAGTAAACCAGCAGACCACCAGCTACCATCACAGAACACAACCATTCAAGATACAACTCTTTCACATCTTGAATTTTACAGGGTGACCTACAAGATATTAGATTATTAGATGTTGTTCCTTATTTAATCCTAATTCAAAAAAACTGGAGTCTCTGTCTTTGTTCTAGGTACTGTAAATAAAAAATGGATGTGGTTCCTCTGGGGCTTGAACGCAGAACGTTTTGCGTGTAAGGCAGGCGTGATAACCACTATGGACCTCTCACATCCTCCGACTCAAACATCATTTGAGTCGGACCACTGTGACACACAGCCCACAGCCTCCAGTCTTTGGCATTTGTATTTGTTTCTGGTGGTTGTTGTTGTCCATCGACGTTCACGAGGTCTTACTACAGTAGTTCACCCCAGGAATGTTGTGTAACCCAACATTCTGCACACCGTGCGTGGCTCCACTTATGCAACCATATCAGTCGTTACAGATTCCACATCATTCTAAAAGTGTTGTTGGACCGGTTCAGTAATTGGGTGGTCAGTGTGTGTGTGTTTTCGTGGCACTCGGCCACTAATGATTCAGTTTTTCAGTGAAACTCACATGTAATTACCAACATGTCAAGGTGTAAAACACAGAACAGGCACCCGTGTTTGCTTGTTGCTGGCTGTGCTGTCCAGCTGGCCTGACGTGTGTGGGAAAGATTAGTGTATGAATGTATCCCTCACTGTAATTTGCACTTAAAGTAGGAGTGTAAAATTATAAAAGATGTGACATTTATGAGAGCGACGATCAACCGCTTTGACCCGCTGACAGTAAACACAACATCGGAGCAGAACACAGTGTTAAACCTGGGGTTTACCCCACTAATAAACTTGGGTTGTTTTGGAAATAATATAAAATAATCACAACCTATTACCACAATCTGACCACCACAGCATGTAAATACCTCATGGCGTGTAACAGGCAGTTTTATAACTGCCCAAGCAGTGAATTATCCAATTTGTTCACCAACACAGTCACAGCCACTCATTGGTACAGTAGATGTTCAGAACAAGAGTCAGTGAATGCAGCTACGTACTTCAACTGTGGAAGTTAGCACTCCTACAATTTAACAATCAGACGCCGTCATTTGTTCCACTGTTTAAATAAAACTAAGGTTTAAAAAACAGCTGGTTGTGACACTAAACCAGACCTGGGCAAACTGCTGTGCTTTCTAATCTGGCCCACTACACATGGGTAATTCATGTGGTAAAGACTGTTTTAATTCCTTCTGCTTCATGCATTGTAATGAATTCACTGTAAATTTAGTTAATGCAACTAGATTAACTGACAGCAGAGGTCAAATGTGCCAAATTTATTTTGAAGCTTTAGGATTAACCCTGGACCCTGGAACATCACAGCAGGTGTGCAGCTCAGGGAGGCGTCAGTGGAAGTTGTTGGAGCCAAAGGGACGTTGACTCTGTTTCTTCACTGACATCAGCAGCTGGAAGTCAGGCTTATTTTTAGAGTCGGTCAGGAAACGCCTGAATCTCTCGTGGTCCCTGATTGGCCGAGGCCAACTCTTTGACTTTTTTAAACAAAGATAGGAGTTGCATCATCAGTCTCAGTCCTCATGTGACAGTTTGGTGAAGTTCATGTCCTCACAAGTATGTATAAATATGTTCTAATCCTGTCCATCCTGGTGAAGATCTCAGCATCTTTATCTCCTCTACCTCCAACTCTACCGCCTGTCTTTTAAGCTGAGCCTCTGTCTCTGACCCATTCATCACAGCAGGTCTCTCCACCATCTATTCAACCTTCTCTTCTGTCCAACACCTGCCCTGACAGCCACCTCCACCTTCTCCATCTCCATTCCTCCAGGTGGATGTTACCAAGTACAAACCATTGTTTGTACTTGGTAATTTGTTTGGTAATTTGTTTGTACATCTCTCTCTTTAAACTTGTTACAGCCTTATTTTTAAGCTGTGTCTTTGCTGTGTTTTCTTGGCTCAGTAGGTCACTCCAGGTCGCAACATTTCACTCAGGAACATGTTAAACGCCAAACCAGGCATCAGCCCATCGACCCCACCCTCCCCTGTGTGCGTTGCCCGGTGCCCTTTCAGCTAATTCTCTAATATTTTACCAGCCATCAACCACTGATCTCGCCCACTCACTTTTCTCAAGCTCCACACTTCTTGGCACGTCTGCGCTGCGTCTCCCCGCCGGGACTGCAAAAACAGCATTAGCATACGTGGGAGGGAATGTTTGACCATTACTCAGAATCAGATAGCACACAGTTGACCGTGACATAATTTTATTTACAATGGCTAGAGACCCAGGCCTGTATAAATGTTAAATCCCTCTATCTACATGTCTGAGGAGGGAGGGGTGGAGGTTGGGTTTGGAAGCCTGGCTGGTCAAAAACTGACCCAGCTCTGGTCTCAATGTAAATGCAATTATACAGTAAGTAGTTTAACTTTGCAATCTGATTGGACACGTTCCAGTCGAACCGTACTGGTACAACCAACGAGGCTCCGTCGAGATTGATCAGAAAAACGTATTTAGAAGCCGACGTAGGATCTGCAGACTTCCGACCGTTGGTCTTTTCTCCCCTCACTTCTCTCCACATGTCTTTCTTTCCTCTGTGGTTTTCTTGTCTTGTTATTTTCATCCTTCTTCCTTGGTCCAAACTCAACGCAGCCACACAGAAACCTGGGCTGCACATGTGCCTGATAACATCACTTCAGTTACAAATCAGACCCCGGTCTGTGCTGCTTACGTAAAGCCATAACGAGGCTCATTTAGACAAACAAAATGAGGTAAATTTGCCAAAGCCATTTTCTATTTATGCCTAATTTGACTAATTTCTTCAAAAATGGATAAATTAAAATAAAAAAAAAGTCGAGTTCATTTCACTTCTGTGGGTTTATATCAGAGTGCATGGTTTTTTCAGCGCTCACTAAGCCGTAGCTGGATGTATGGAGTGTATTGCTGTATTAATGGCAGACGTTTACGTCCACTGTCCTTTTGGCTGCACAGAAACTCAAATGTGGGGTCGAGTTTGAGAAATTCCTGGTTTTATAGCACAGATTCAGCGATAATTTCAAAGGAACATTTAGTTCATGTTAAGTGTTTTGTTATGGATTTTGTGTGAGAAAAACAAGTAGACAAATTTTTGCAGCCTGTGGCAGAAAAACGCAAATAAAAAAGAACTTAGGCCAAAAGTCACTGTGTGCGCGTTGTACCTGTGAAGTTGGAAGGTAGGAAGCAGTGGGATTGTCTGCAGGTTCCATCTGAGTGTGTATTCTGAACTCATCTTTTTGTTACTCCTCAGAAATATTTTTTGTAAATACTAAACGTATGTGTTTTAAATAAGTGTGATTATGGCTTTAATGCACAGTAATGACTTAAATCCATCAACTCTGTGAAGCTAAACTTTCAGTTAATTAATAATTCAATCTTCGATCAGTCACAAATACAACAGGTGACATGTATTTTTATTGTATGTATTTAATTAAATAACCTATGGTCATGTTTGCAATCCAAGTTTGTGACGTGACTGCAGTGTCCACAGAGGGCAGCAGTGGGTCAGCGTACATGTGACATCTGGGTGTTAAGGCAGAGTTTTTGACTCTTCTCTCCAGCTGAGGCCACTGCAGGTTCACAAAGGTCACAGGTGGCTTCATGTGGAGGCAAACATCTCCAGATGGATGTCAGAGGACGGCTCTGTCAGAGGACGGGTCTGCGTTTCACAACACAACAGCGGTCAGAGGAAGGTCAGCAGCACTCTAAACTCATTCTTCTCTCTCTCTCTCTCTCTCTCTCTCTCTTTCTCTCTCTCTCTCTCACTCTGTATCTCGTATGTATTTCGTTGTTGTAGTACATTTTTTCCTGCGTGCTCTTGTTTTTACATCACCGTCAGCCCAGGTGGGTTAAACACTCACGTTACATATCATGATGCATTCACACACCTATGCAAAACAAGGGAAAAATCCAATAGAACCATTTCATTTCTGTACGTTTCTGCGTCTAACCCTAAAGTTCAGACTTTTTGGGTGGAATTCAACCCGGGAAATTCCCCACTTTTGACACTCTGACAGCTCTGGTTTGTGTTGCTGAGGATAATCAGTGAATTCTAGAGCACAGCCGAACCTGTAATTACAAGGGAAATTAGCAATAGGCAGTAATTTGTGTCTATTTGCAGCTCCGAGTTTGACAGTGTGGGCGGGTCCGCGCCAACCTTTTGTATGAAATGTTAAAAGGCTGGAATAAAATGGGCGTTAAATGTGCTTTTATAATAACCCTGAAACATTTAAATCCATCATTACAGGACGCCTTGTTCTGTGTTTAACCTTGCATTTCAGAATTTAAGATTTAGACCCTTGAAGAAAAGAACAATTGCAAAGACAAATGTGATTTGCACCTGTGTATTTTCTCACATCCTACCAAATTAAACCACGCAAAACATTATTCAATCATGAAGCTTTTGGAGAGCCTTGGAACAAAACAACCTGCAGGAAGCGATTCTGCGGCTGTGTGATCCTGGGAATCTTGAAGCTATTTCACTCCAAAAGAGCACCTCAGTTAAAGCTCATTGTGTGTTTTTTTTTTTTTTTAACAGAAGTTCAATGTTATTTTAGAGTTGTCTGTGTTCCTGAATCACTACCAGCTGCCTGAGTGAGTGGGCCGCCAGGTTACTCGCCCACTGATGAAGGAGCAGCTGGCTGTGGCCCAGGCTACCGCTGAACACTGTTTAGATTGAGGATTCATCCCAGGGTAAAAAATAAAACTGCATCATATTGTGAGAATCAATTAATTTTCACTAGCCGTGAAGGTTTTCATAAACAGAGACTGGCCCGTATTTAGAGCAGATGTGGGCCACTCAGGAGCCCAATACGCCTAATATACCTGAAACTCTACGTCCAGATTCTCAGGCTGCAGCAGTACCATGTATCAACCATCAGAATGGGTCACACGGCTCTGACTGTCCTGTCCAAATTTGTCTGCGGCAGTGAATGCAGTCAGCTTTCGTCCTACATTATTGGTAATGTAATGTTATTGGTAAAAGTGGTCCATATTTGTATGTTATCTATGAAAGAATGTAAGACTTTAGCAGCCTGAATCTGGGTGAAGAGAGACAAAGGAAATATAGTGGATGTAAAAAAAAGTCTCTAACCCCTGATTGAACGTAGATTTAGGACTGAGTTTCATGTTGTACACGTGAAGATCACACAAAATGTCTGTGTTTTTGTTGACAGTAGACTCAGAAAGCAGCAGATTAACTGTCACTTCAGTTCTGGGCCTGACCTCTGTCCAGATTAACAATACAGACAAGGGTTAAATCAACAGTGGTAAAAGACTTAGTGATAGGACAATATGAACGTTAAAATAAAGGGTGAAGGGAACTTCCTGTTTGTTTCTCCAAGTTTGAACAGGGAGAGTCGTTTGGATCTGTGACAGCTCGCTTACATTTTCTTTTTTGTGTGTGTGTTTTGTCTCATTGTCTAAACTGTTGCTGTGATGTTGCTCTGGACACCTGTGTGTGTGTGTGTGTGTGTGTGTGTGTGTTCCTGATGTGACTATAGTTGTGGGGATGTTGTTTTGGGAGGAAACATGTCCTTGAGGGGACATTTTGCAGTGAGAGAGTATTTTGAGGGTTTCAGTTTGATTCTGAGTGAATTGCTCATGAAATAACACAAAAACCTGTGGTTATCTGTGTGTGTGTGTGTGTGTGTGTGTGTGTGTGTGTGTACTCCAGCTGCTCCAGTGATAAGCAGCAGATGATGACAGGGCGCCCAGGTCTAATTAGAGAGCTCTTCAAAAAGCTGCAGAGCTGATGTCAGTTACACTGCAGCTGTGAAGGTCATCTTCATACACACACACACACACACACACCTGGAGGGCTGGTGTAGTGGGTGGGAGGAGTGTGGGGGGGGGGTCGCTCCATTGTCAATCATTTCCTATAACTGAGGGAGATTACGTGCTGACTCAGCCCACCAGCTGATCACCAACCACCCCCCCCCCATAGGGACTTCCCCCGCCCACTGTCTATCACGGTGGGAGGAGAGCGCTACACCTGTGCCCCGTGTTCACAGCGCTGACTCAGGAGCTGTAGAACGAATCTGAAAAGAATGTTCTAAAAATGGGTCGGGTATAAGGCAACCAGGATAAAAGTGTTTCTGGCAACAATTGCAGTGAAAGTGTTTGTGACTCATTTAGCAAATAATACTTCGATATTTGGGGAAATTGTATTTGTTAATGGTCCGATGAACCGATTGGTATCTTTCACACAGCTTAAGAATTAGAAAAGTACCAGAAATAAAAATGTTCATATTTCTAAATAATTCTGAAATCACTTAATCAAATGGTTGACCACATTCTTCTTACTCAGTAATGAATTCTAAAACTATAGGCCACAAACCTCCACCAGAACTGGCTTCTTCTATGACCCTGTGGTTGCCTAGATGTGTAAGTGTGTCGAGAACACAATAGAACCGTGAAAGAATGTTCACTGACTTTTCTGTTTATATCTGGTTGCCAGGTGTGGCCCACTGATTGTGGCCCACTGATTGTGGCCCACTGATTGTGGCCCACTGCAGCACCTTAAGGCTCACAGTCTAATCCTGCCTAGCATGTTGCTCTGGCATACTGACGGCCAATACTAAATATTTTCCTTGGCCTTGAATATAGAAATGACTTATCTCTGGATGTTTTGACTGTGATGGTCCACATCTCATCGTCAAACATTAACCAAAACTGGCCTACTTCAGAAATTCTAGTGGATTTTTTGCCTACTATTTGGATACCAACTCCAGGTGGGATGGCCAGTATTATGGCTAAAGGACACAAAATGTGGGCATGTAAGTGTAAGTGTAGGTCTGTCTTAAGTTGGCTCTGTGTGAAGTCTGCCCCGTCACTGCTCTAGTTCTAGTTCATTTTTAATTCCCTTTGAGTCTTAACCAAAAGTCTAAACATGGAGATTAGAAGTCTGAGGCCTCAGTAAACACAGTCCAGTAAGAATCTGAACAATACACTCACAGTTGAATGATTTTCCACAGTATAGATGAAGTGATGGTCAGTTCCACTTCTCCATGACGGGTTACAAATATACAAACGTTAGCTGCACTGAGAGAATTCCATTATTTCGGAGGAAGACATGCCAAACCTTTTTTAAGTAGTTTCACTGGACCACAGCGTGGGCCAGTGTGGTGGTGGACCAGAGTCAGGCTCCTGCAGTAGTTCCAACCAAAATGTGAAGTACAATACAACATGCTTTGACAGAATCTTGTGTCAGTAACACAGCGTGTAATCTCCTGGACTTATTTCTTCTCAGACACTATTTTGTTTAAGCCTCCTACATGGTACCCATCCATCCATTCCCACCCACGGAAACCCAGACTCTTGGAACCTTGTACGGTCCTACAGCCAAGTCTCCAACGAACAACTTCCTCTAACAACACAGTAATCTTGTTTATGCTGCCAATTTTGGGGGTAACAACGCCATACTGGTGTTTAACTAAAGGCCCTTTATCATTCCTGGGCTGACCTCAACGTCCCCACAGGAGACCTAATGATGACATCTACAAACCAGCGCCAAGCTCTGCGGGCTGATAATCCCTGACATCACGTTCCGACGTGGCCAGATTCAAACTCTGGGCGTTAAGTGTGAGGGAAGAGAGAGATGCAGAGGAGACTGGCAGAGGGAGAGGAAAGCCAAATTGTTGGAAGGCAGCCCTGAAGATGGTTGTGGTTTTATGTATCTCCGTTATCGTTCCATTCCAATAAACGTGGATGGGATTCATCTGTGGTCGTGACAAGAAGATGAAAAAACAGCTGCGTTCTTTCCACTTCTCATATTTCTCTTACATTTCATTTTTACCTCATCCAATTTGGTTCCAAAGGACTTGAATTAACTTAACATGATCTGGTTCTACAAAGTCTCCTTTGCTTCTCCCAGAGTCATTCCCATCTGCTGGGAATCAGAGTCCAGTGTTCCTCTTTAATTTCTTCTTGATGTCCATCAGTCCCACCGTCCTGGAGGTTGTTCATTCTATTGCTTTCTCCTCTATATCTACCGCTTTTTTTTTCTTTCTTCTTCTTGAAGTTTTTGCAGAACCTTCTTAGTCAGTAAATACTGAGGGAGTATCTCATCAATATGGCGCGCCGCTGCCTGGAGTCTAACCCCTATTTTGGTCACCGATTCATCAAACTGGCCTAACTTCATCTTTACTTTGCTGATTTAGTGCAATATTTCAGAGAAATTTGTGCTAACATTTAGTTACTATCTCTTTGTCTGGTTTTGGTGAAATCTCCTGCAGTTTTTTTTAGTAGCCTAATTTATTTGAATACGTTTTATCCACTTTGCTAAGAGGCTTAGTGATTCAAAGTTTTATATTTCATATCTTGAACTACGACTTACTGGAATTTTTATATTCATATGGAAATGTTTTGCTATTTTTTACATTGTTGATTTTTAGATAGCTTTTTGTTTATATTTCAGATAAAAAGTTGTTTCAAGACTTACTAGCCTGTAATGTATTAACTTTAGTGCAGCTTTCAGGCCCGATCGTTGCTATTCTTGCACTAAATCTTTTTTTATTTTTTGCCTACCTTATGAATTCCATAAGTTACCGGTCGATTCTTATTTCTCTTGAAGATGGAACATCTGTATCTTTACGTAGTGACTCCAGTTTACAGACAGCTTTAAGTCACACTTATTCACTCAGTTTCCATGTTAATCTGGTTTATTTAAAGGCGGATTAAATTAAACGATGAG